ACCAGCCTGGCTTGACTTTGGCGTAAACTGCACCTTGAAAGGATTGGGACCCTCAAGCGAGAAATAAGGCAATGCGACCTTTACTCGGAGGTCGAGGGAGGCTCTCCCCCTGCCGCATTTCATTCAGCCTTGCTCTTTTCCTTCCTAATGAAGCCTTTTGCTTTTAGTGTTTGCTACTTTCCAAAACAAAGGAACTCTTCTTGTGACGCGTAGAACCTCTAGATCAATTTGTGCATAACCTTTTGTATCCCTGTGTAGAAACTTTATTTCTCTGGTATCCTTTGGATGTCACTATGTAACCTTGCTTCTCCTGACTCACAAAGGAAACCCACCCGGGGAGTTGTGCCTTTTCTGTGTGTTCAGCAGATCCCAGGAAGAGCTGACATTGCCACCTTCCTGGAGATGCAGAAGATGGCTGTGGCAGACAGAAAGAGAAGAGAATGGGAGAGGAGGAAGGCACCTCAAAGATGTCGGCTAGGTCGCCGGGAGATTTACGATCTGTTTTTCTACACGAATAAAGGCATTTAGAAGATAAGAAAGACACCGTGCGTGCAGCCTGATTTATTACACACACTCACAGCAACAGTTTCTCGCTGTGTATGCTCTGCTGAAAGTAGCTGATTCGGAGAGGTGAGCAGAAAGCGCTGAGGGTGGAAGCGTGTGGGCTCGAGACGGAAGCTACAAAGGCTACAAGGACTGTGGCCACAACATTCCAAACATTCCACAAAAGGACATCTAGTCCAACCCCCTGCAATGCATGAATCTAAACTCAGTGACAGAGGACCATCCAACCTCTGCTTAAAAAGCTCTTTCGGAGGGAGTCTGATCCACAGTTCAACACGTCATGCAGTCAGAACGTTTTTCCTGATCTTTAATCAGAATCTCCATTCCTCTTATCTTGAAGCCGTTGGTTCAGATCCCACCTCCAGAGCAGGAGAAAAGAAGGAGCACCACCAATTTGCAGCTTGGAGGCAGATGCTTGAGCAAGAAGTAGAACTTAATTTGTCAATTTTGAACATGCTGGCTGTCTCCTATTTGGGAGGTTGAGGGGATGGGCCTCTGGAGAACCAGGAGTGTAAATACCATAATAAAAGGTAAAGGTAAAAAGGTACCCCTGCCCGTACGGGCCAGTCTTGACAGACTCTAGGGTTGTGCGCTCATCTCACTCTAGAGGCCGGGAGCCAGCGCTGTCCGCAGACACTTCCGGGTCACGTGGCCAGCGTGACATCGCTGCTCTGGCGAGCCAGAGCCGCACACGGAAACGCCGTTTACCTTCCCGCTATAAAGCGGTCCCTATTTATCTACTTTGCACTTAAGAGTGCTTTCGAACTGCTAGGTGGGCAGGAGCTGGGACCGAAAGACAGGAGCTCACCCCACCGCGGGGATTCGAACTGCCAACCATACGATCGGCAAGTCCTAGGCGCTGAGGTTTTACCCACAGCACCACCTGCGTCCGTTTTACCATAATACCATAATACAGGCTGCGAAACAACTGTACTAAAGATGGCCAATGCATATTTCTCACTGTGCTGGAAGAAAGTGACAATTGCCGCAGGGTTCTGTCCTGGGCCTGTTGCTGTTGTTCAATGCCTTTATTAGACAACTTGGACAGAAGAGTTGAGGGGACGCTCATCAGAGTTGCAATGACACCAAACTAGGAGGAGTAGCTAATGCCACAGAAGAAAGAATCAGGATTCAACGTGAGATTAACAGGTTGGAGACCTGGGCACAAGCTAACAAAAGGAATTTCAACAGGGACATACGTAAAGTTCTGCACTTGGCAGGAAGAGGCTGATGCACAAATATAAGATGGGCACCTCAAAGGACATCTAGTCCAACCCCCTGCAGTGCAGGAATCTCAACTCAATGAGAGATGGCCATCCAACTTCTGCTTAAAAACCTCCTAGGAAGAAGAGGCCACCACCTTCTGACAGAGTCTCTTCCACTGTTTCTTCTGTTCTTACTGTCAAAGAGATCTTTCTGAATTTTAATCAGAATCTCCATTCCTGTTATCTTGAAGCCGTTGGTTCGGATCCCACCCTCCAGAGCAGGAGAAAAGAAGGAGCCCCACCAATTTGCAGCTTGGAGGCGCTGGAAGAGGAAGCTCTGTGAACCTCTCTACCCATGATGTGAACCACCCTGGCATCTTCAGATCAAGGGCACTGCACAAATTTAATAGCTACAGAAATAATAAAGTACGTTACCTGCTTGTGTGGTAAGAATTTGCTTCTACGCCAGCAGTTTGTTACACATGTAAGGGAACATCCGAAATAAAAACACGGGACCAAGGCAATGAGAGCAAACTCAGAGTCCTGCAGGGACCCAGTTTATTCAAACTATTGCAATCGGACAGCCTTGCTATCCAGTTCTTCAGCAGAAGGGCTGGTTTGAAAAGGCTGCCAGGAGGCATATTAGAAGAAAGCTTATATACACAGCACACAAAGACTCATAAAATGCCACAACAATCTTCCACTTGAATCAAGAAACGTCACAAGTCATGAGACGCGTGGCTCAATGTGGATATCGACTCCTCTGAAATTACCTTGGGGTGTCCCAGAGTGCCCAGGTCATTTATGTCTCATATTTTGCGCCGTTCCCTTGGCAACCAGACCCATGGTGGGGCTGTTGATGGTCCTACCCCCTAACTTACTTTCCTGTTCCCAAAACATGTCAAAGACATCATCTGCCCTTCTAGGGTCTGATAAGGCTGGAAGTAGGCAACTTACACATGACAACTTTACACAGAGTAGGAGGGTGAAATGAGGTTTACAAAATGCAGGCATACAAAAACCAAGCCTAATGCATCCTATCTAAAAGGCTGGATGTGATTAATACTAGGACACTTTGACCAAAATCAAAATCTATAATATCTAATATTCAATCAACTATCACATTTTTTACACCAAGTCCTTCCTAGGAAAGTTCAGCATGGACAGCAACCTCATCAGTGTCACCCAATCTCTCTTATCCCTCTCTCCAGGCATGACATGAAGAAGGAATTCAACACCTTGGCCAAGAACTTGAAATTCACAGCTCTGGGTACGTAGCAGGTATTACTATGGGGCACCAGATGTGGCAAAGAACCCAGCTGCAACCATTACCTCATATGAATTAAGGTAAAAGGTAAAGGTACCCCTGCCCGTACAGTCCAGTCTTGCCAGACTCTAGGGTTATGCGCCCATCTCACTTAAGAGGCCGGGGGCCAGCGCTGTCCGGAGACACTTCCGGGTCACGTGGCCAGTGTGACGAAGCTGCTCTGGCGAGCTGGCACCAGCGCAGCACACGGAAACGTCGTTTACCTTCCCACTAGAAACCGGTACCTATTTATCTACTTGCACTTAAGCGTGCTTTCGAACTGCTAGGTGGGCAGGAGCTGGGACCGAAAGATGGGAGCTCACCCCGTCGTGGGGATTCGAACCACTGACCATGCGATCGGCAAGCCCTAGGCACTGAGGTTTTTTTTTAATATATATATATATATCGATTTTTATTAGAGTTTGGAAATTACAGGGGGAAAAGAAAAAAGATATAACAGTCAAAAAGAAAAAGCAAAAGCAATACACATAGAAAAGCATCAAAAACAGCAAAATAGAAAAAAGAAATAATAATAATATAAAAAACAACAACAAGAAGTCAAACCTTTGCATCACTTACTTACATTCACTTATTTCCTTGACCTCCTCACACCTCCCATTTTTGTATTCTAATTAAGATTGATATTTCAGCAAATCCTTCCAACCTTGTTTTTATCTTAATTTATCTTGGTATACTATATTTTTCCATTCTCTCTCTCACCAATTCATTTTTACTTAATCCATTATATCTTTTCTGCAAAAATCGCATATCTTTCCTTTCCCAACCTCTTTCTAACAATCCTTAATTTTACAATATTTTTGAAGATAAACTTTAATTTTTTTCCAATCTTCTTCCACCGACTCTTCTCCTTGGTCCCAGATTCTGCCAGTCATCTCAGCCAATTCCATGTAGTCCATCACCTTCATCTGCCATTCTTCCCGGGTGGGTAAATCTTGTGTTTTCCAGTGCTTTGCGATAAGTATTCTTGCTGCTGTTGTGGCGTACATAAAAAAAATTCTATCCTCCTTTCACACCAATTGGCCGACCATGCCCAGGAGAAAGGCCTCTGGTTTCTTCTGAAGGATATATTTAAATACCTTTTTCATTTCATTGTATATCATCTCCCAGAAAGCCTTAATCCTTGGGCACGTCCACCAAAGGTGAAAGAATGTACCTTCAATTTCTTTACACTTCCAACATTTATTATCGGGCAAGTGATAAATTTTTGCAAGCTTGACTGGTGTCATGTACCACCTGTAAATCATTTTCATAATATTCTCTCTTAAGGCATTACATGCCGTAAACTTGATACCTGTGGTCCATAACTGTTCCCAGTCAGCCATCATAATGTTATGTCCAACATCTTGTGCCCATTTAATCATAACAGATTTAACCATTTCATCCTGTGTATTCCATTTCAACAGCAAGTTATACATTCTTGACAAATTCTTAGTTTTAGGATCTAGCAATTCTGCTTCCAATTTTGATTTCTCCACCTGAAATTATCTGAATTATAGGTCTCCCTTATTTGATAATAGTGAAGTCTCCTAAAATTAAATCTGTATACAGCCACTACTGTCGTTTGCCCCCACTGTGAGTTCTTTGATGGCAAACAAGACGGGCCCTGTGGCTGAAGCTCTTTCCACATGCTTGCCACTTTTAGGGTTTCTCCCCTGTATGAATGCTCTGATGGGACATGACACTATCCATTTTTCTGAAGCTCTTTCCACACTCTTGTCACTGATAGGGTTTTTCTCATGGATTAACTCTTTGATGGGCCCTAAGATGGCATTTTTGAGTAAAGCTCTTTCCACACTAAAAGCACTGATAAGCACTGGTATCCGAAGAAGTGTGCATGCACACGAAAGCTCATACCAAGAACTAACTTAGTTGGTCTTTAAGGTGCTACTGGAAGGAATTTTTTTGTTTTGACTATGGCAGACCAACACGGCTACCTATCTGTAACTAGCACTGATAAGGTTACTCCCTTGTATGAATTCTTTGATGGGAAGTGAGTTTGCTGCTCCTATTGAAGCTGCTTCCACATTCCAAACATTTATAGGGTTTCTCCCCTGTATGAATTCTGTGATGGGTTGTGAGACTGGTGCCCTGGATGAAGCTCTTTCCACATTCCAAGCACTGATATGGCTTCTCCCCTGTATGAATTCTTTGATGGACAGTGAGCTGGCCTTTGTCTATGAAGCTCTTTCCACATTCCAAGCACTGATGGGGTTTCTGCCCTGTGTGAATTATTTGATGGACAGTAAGCTGGTGTCTGTGAATGAAGCTCTTTCCACATTCCAAGCACTGATAAGGTTTCTCTCCTGTATGAATTCTTTGATGGGCCATGAACTCGCCTTTGTGAATGAAGCTCTTTCCACATTCCAAGCAATGATAAGGTTTCTCCCCTGTATGAATTCTTTGATGGGAAGTGAGCTTGGACCTCTCATTGAAGCTTTTTCCACATTCCAAGCACTGATAGGGTTTCTCTCCTGTATGAATTCTCTGATGGACAGTAAGATTGCGTCTCTGAATGAAGCTCTTTCCACATTCCAAACATTTATAGGGTTTCTCCCCTGTATGAATTCTCTGATGGAAAGTAAGATTGCGTCTGTCAATGAAGCTCTTTCCACATTCCAAGCACTGAAAGTGTTTTTCCCCTGTATGAATTCTTTGATGGGTTGTGAGACTGGCGCTCTGGGTGAATCTCTTTCCACATTCCAAACATTTATAGGGTTTCTCCCCTGTATGAATTCTCTGATGGGAAGTGAAACACTCTCTTCGACTGAAGCTCTTGTCACATTCTTGGCACTGATAGGGTTTCTCTGTTGTATGAATTATTTGATGGGACATAAGTTGGCCTTTTAGAATGAAGCTCTTTCCACACTCCCAGCACTGATAAGGTTTCTCCCCTGTATGAATTCTTTGGTGGGAAGTTAAACTGTTCTTTTGACTGAAGCTCTTTCCACATTCCAAGCACTGATAAGGTTTCTCCCCTGTATGAATTCTTTGGTGGGAAGTTAAACTCTCCTTTGTTCTGAAGCTCTTTCCACACTCTTGGCACTGGTATGGTTTCTCCCCTGTATGAATTCTTTGGTGGGAAGTTAATCTGTCCTTTTTTCTGAAGCTCTGCCCACAATCTTGGCACTGATAAGGTTTTTCCATTGTATGAATTCTCTGATGGACAGTGACCTTGTATCTCTGACGGAACCTCTTTCCACATTCCACGCACTGATAGGGTTTCTCCCCTGTATGAATTCTTTGATGAGTCCTGAGCTGGGAGCTCTGAGTGAATGTCTTATCACATTCCAAGCACTGATATGGCTTCTCCCCTGTATGAATATTTTGATGGACACTTAGTTGGTGGCTGTGACTGAAGCTCTTTCCACACTCCAAGCACTGATAGGGTTTCTCTCCTGTATGAATTCTTTGATGGGAAGTGAGATTGCTGCTCTTATTGAAGCTCTTTCCACATTCCAAACATTTATAGGGTTTCTCCCCTGTATGAATAAGTTGATGAACAGTAAGCTGGCCTCGGTGACGAAAGCTCTTTCCACATTCCAAGCACTGATGGGGTTTCTTCTCAAGGGGATTTATTTGATGGGAAGTGGAATGGGAGCTCTGACTGAAGCCCTCTCCACAGTCTGAATCCTGATATGGCTCCTCCACTGTGTGGATTTCGTTGTGGTCTCCCTCGTTCTTCATCTCCAATTCATCACCACCTGCAACTAAGTGGCAAACAGATTAAAGCCTCAGGAATAATAATGATAATGATGATGATGATGATGATGATGATGATGATGATGATAATAATAATAATAATAATAATAATAATAATAATAATAATAATAATAATTTATTTGTACCCCAGCCACTCTGGGCGGCTTCCAACAAAGATTTAAAAATACATTAAAATTTCAGACATTAGAAAACTTCCCTAAACAGGGCTGCCTTCAGATGTCTTCTAAATGTCACATAGTTTATCTCCTTGACATTTGATGGGAGGGCGTTCCACAGGGTGGGCTTATCACAGTGAAGGAACCACTAGCAGGCCCTTGGCACTGGACTTCAGTATCCGGGCAGAACGATGGGGGTGGAGACACTCCTTCAGGTATACTGGGCTGAGGTCATTTAAGGCTTTCAAGGTCAGCACCAGCACTTTGAGTTGTGCTCGGAAACATACTGGGAGCCAATGTAGGCCTTTCAGGACCGGTGTAATGTGGTCTCAGCAGCCGCCCCCAGTCACCACTCTGGCTGCCGCATTCTGGATTAATTGCAGTTTCTGGGTCACCTTCAAAGATGAGAGCCGCAACCCCAGAGTCGGCCACGACTGGACTTAATGGTCATGGGTCCCTTTACCTTTAAAGATTTTTTTTTAAAGAATCGGTTTAATGATCGCCTCTTTCAGTGGGTCTGGGAAGGCTCCCTCACAGAAAGAAGCATTCACCACCCCGCAGAGCCCATCGCCCAGCCCTTCCCGGCTCGCTTTTATTAGCCAGGATGGGCAAGGATCAAGGAGACAGGTGGTTGGTTTTACTTGTCCAAGCAGCCTGTCCACATCCTCAGAGGTAACTGATTGAAATTGATCGCATATAACATGACTAGACAGGATTGTAGCACTCTCCCGCCCCAGCCCTGCTCCCACAATGGTGTCTACTTCCTTCCGAATCTGAGCAACTTTATCTGCAAAAAGCAATAGAGGCGGTGAAGAAAGTCTTCTTCGCCATCACTATCACCACTTGATAGGCTTGATGTTGAGCTCTAACCCATGTCTGGTCTGATTCAGAATGAATTTTCTACCACCGGCACTCTAGCCATCTCAGATATCGTTTCCTCACCCTCAGCTCTGGAGAAAACCACAGGGCCGTCCGGGCTCCATGCAATCGGAGAGGGCACTCGGAGCCAGACAGTTGATAGCCCTGGTTAACTCCGCATTCCAGCGGGCCACCAGGGAATCAGCTGAAAGGCCATCAACATGGGATGAAGCATCCCCTACCACTCTCTGGAAACCATTTGGATCCATTAAGTGGCGGGGGCGGACCATCTGAATCGGTCCCACCTCCCTGCAGAGGGGATGGGTCGCGGAGAAGTCCAGTTGCACCAGGAAGTGATCTGACCATGGCACTTCTTTCGTTTCGCTTTTAGCTAGTGTCAGATCACCCATGTCACTAGAGGTGAACACCAGGTCTAAGGCATGTGTTATGGGTTGGACCAAACTCATTCAGGGACAACCCCATGGAGGCCATGCTTTTCACGACGTCCCAAGCAGCCCCTTGTAAGGTCGTGTCGGCGTGGATGTTAAAATCCCCCAGGACAACCAAGCTAGATGTCTCCAGGAGAACATCCACCATGACCTGAAGCAGCTCGGGCAGGGAATCCTTGGTGCAGCGGGGAGGTTGGTACACCAAAAGGAATCCTGTACTGCCCCTACCGCCCAACTTCCAGAACATGCACTCAGAGAACTGGGTCTTCCCAATAGGACACCTGGTGCAAACTAATGACTTCCTAAAAATCACTGCAACGCCCCCCCCCCAGCCCACATGACCTGGATTACTGTGCAAAAGAGAAACCTGGTGGACAAGCAGCAGCAAGGACAGGCCCATCTGCTTCATCTAACCAAGTCTCTGTTACACATGCCAGGTCAAGTCCTCCATCCATGATCAAGTCATGGATGGCAGTGGTCTTATGAATCGTTGACCTGGCATTACACAGCAGCACCTTCAGGTCATGTGGGTTTCCCTTGTTGATTCCAGAATCCATCCAGTCAAGACCAGACCTGGAGGCAGAGATAATCTTCAAACAATAACTAAGCCTGCTTCCTCGGTAATGACATGTTCTGGTCTTAGCGTAACTCCTCCTCCTGCCCATGATCACTGAGATTGGGTGTCCCAGTGCACCCCCCCCTCCCCGTGGAACTTGCCCCAGCCATTCTGTTGGATGGGGCCCACTCCCAGGCAGCCCTAATCCTGCCCCTTAAAAACAAAACACAAAATATACAACAACCAATAAAACAAAACAACGTTATACCTAAATGAATCCCCAACCAGATATCCTTTTAGAAGACATCTGAAGGCAGCCTTGTTGAGGGAAGCTTTTAGTGTTTGATGGACTACTGTATTTTCAAATTTGTTGGAAGCTGCCCAGAGCAGCTGTGGAAACCCAGCCAGATGGGCGGGGTATAAATAATAAATTGTTGTTGTTGTTGTTATCCATCCCAACCCCCAACAGAGCAAAAGGGGGGGGGGAGAAGAGGAAAAATAACATGCCACTGACTGCTTAAGGTCATTTTAAAACACATTAGATTAGACACTTGGAACAGGGAAGCAATAGCAGAAGAACTCCACACTTCCCCAAGAGTTTCTTCCAGTGAGTCCAGCCCCACCCTCTGGGCACTGCAGCAGGAGTCCTTTTGTAGCTGAGAATGTGCAGGGCCTGGCCCCCACCCCCCAGGCCAGTTGGGAAAAGGCCTTGGAGGGGAGCAGGCCCTGCAGTCCTCGCCACAGCCGATGGTCCCAAATTAGGGAGCAGTGCTGATTAATGCTTGTGACAGGGAAAGAGCTGAAGGGAGCTAGATGTGAGGTCTTCCTCCAGGGTTCACTGCCGGGGGTTCGAAAAGCCTGGTTATTTTCTGGGACGGATTTTGTTTGGCCCAATCTTGGGATCTGTGCCATCTCCAATGTCACTCGTCTCTTTAGTCAGCCAAGGACAGAAAGAAGAACAGAAACAAAACATCTGACAGAAGCCACTTCAACTTCCTGAATCACTTTGAAGATACATTTAAGAAGGCCTGGGCAGTTTAGAGGAGCCTGAAAAAATATTTTTTTGGGGGTTTTATCTGCCCTGGAGTAACTTCATCTGAGCAATTTCCCCCCTGCTCAGCACCTTGCACCTCTGGCGGCCCTGCCCCTATGAGGGGATGAGGGGCTGCTGAGCAATGGAGTCTGAGGGGGAAGGAGAGCGGTCAGCCCTCCTCCTCCTCCTCCTCCTCCTCCTCCTCCTCCTGTACATCTGGCCAGATGCTTCCCAGCCCTGCTGGAGCCATGGCTGCTTTCCTGAGGTCCTTCCTCTGCTTCTGCCCCCATGAAGGGCCCCTGATGGGAGGCTGTGGGGGCTGCAGACAGGCCAGCCCTTCAAGAGCAAAAGGGGGCCAGGCATTATTATTATTATTATTATTATTATTATTATTATTATTATTATTAATACTCTGCCCACCTGGCTGGGTTTCATGCTTTGAAAAGGCAGGACCGGAGGAAGAATATTCACAGGGAAAGCAGTCAACAGTCTTCCATCCAAGGCTGGCTGTGGGAGTGTTAACATCCCAGGTGCTGTGGGTGGCGCTGTTGAGCCCCATCGAAAAATCAGAGGTTCGTCCAATAGAGAGATGTCTTGAATTACAAAACAGATAGGATGATCCAATAGGGAGCCTTACCGAGAGAGTCCAAGATCCCACGATTCTCCTCCATGACTTCCTTATGGAGAGCTCTCTGGTCAGGATCCAGCAACGCCCACTCGTCGTCTGTGAAATGGACAGCTACATCTTCAAAGCACACTGGACCCTAACAGAACAGGAAAAAGGCTGTCCTCTTAGACCAAAGAAAGGTGAACTGTTACACTTTGTTGTCTTCTGCCTCTTAATTGATGTCCTGTTTTAATGGGAATCTTTTTCTGCGCATTTTATGGATGCATATTTTGTTGTGCTAATGGAATTATTCATTGTGTACAGTGGTGCCTCTGGTTGCGAATGGGATTCGTTCTGGAGGCCGTTTGCAACCGGAAACTACTGCAACCCAAAGTGCCTGCTCTGCGCATGTACGAGCAGCGAAAAACCACTTCTGCGCATGCGCAACTGGAGAAACCCGGAAGCAACCTGGTCTGGTACTTCCGGTTTTCCGCGTTCGTAACTGGAAGGTTACATAACCTGATGGCAACGTAGCCAAAGGCACCACTGTATTTTAACGAGGGGCATTAAGAACCTGGTGTTTGTTGGTGTGTCTCCCCCTGAGTGCGGGTGTCCAATCTCACCCGTCTGGAGCTGAGAGCAGCACCCACTCCTCCGAACTTCAAACAAGACATACATTCGAAAACGCAAGCACAACAAGAGACAGAACAAAGGGAACGGAAGTGATAGAAACTGTCTTCCGTTCTCACGCTTCCAAGCATGGAATGTAAACATAGGACATGTGATCTAACACTCACACATCCAGTGACGGGAGAAGGAAAATATTAACAGTGTTCTTCAAATCATTCTTCAATCCAGTGCACAAACATTCCCGTTTTCCACATGGAAGGATCCCCTTTCTTCTGTCCCTCTGTGCTGTTCGGGCCGGATGGGGAGGACCCTCCTGATGCCCTATAGACAACTTCAAAGTGCGCAGGGGAATGAGAGGGGGAAAGCCCCACTGTGGGACTGATGGGGTGAATCCTGGCCACTCTTGGTATGGGGTGTGAACTGCTTAGAAGCCTATTTGAGCCTTCAACCCTCCTTCCTTGGCAGTTCCTCCCACCATTCCTCTGTGTCCCCCAGTCCATGACATCCTCTCTCCCCACATGGCCCCTTCCTCCTACCTGCTCTGGTTTGAGTCGGCTGCAAACCTCTCGGGGTCCTTTGGCCTCCTGGTAGCAGAACTGCCTCAACTGCTGGCTCTGCACCTCTGAGCAAGGTGTGTCCTCCTCACCCAGGATCTTCCTCACATTGTTTTCCCAGAATCCCCCACTGCTCCCCGTTTCCATGGCATGGCCTCTTCCTGCTTCAGGGCCAGCTGAGTCTTGCTCATCCATCTCTGTTCTCAGGAAGCCTCCAGGAGATCGGAAGGAGTCCCCACGTCTTCTGCCAAGTTCTGCCTGTCCTAATGAGAGGTTTTGGCAAATCCTAAAAAAGCAAATACATTTTTCTGATATAAAATTGATACACAGTAAGGAGGAGAAAAGGGTTCCCTGGGCAAGCATGGAGAAGTATTTGCAGGAATCACAGGCCAGAGTTTCTTTTTTAAAAGAGAAAGAATGAAGTCAGAATTGACAAGTGAGTCATTTGTACCAAGTGTAGTTTGGACTCAAGGCAAGAGTGGGGGTCCCTCCCCCCCCAAATGCTAGGGCACATTTCTTTCCAGCGTCTGTCTCCTTTTCCAGAACTTGGAATCTCCCCTGTTCTCAATACAGACTACTGGGGTGGGGTCCCTTTTTCCTTTGTTCTGAGGGCCAGATCCTGACCTGACCAGAGGACAGCTCTCGAAAGCAAGAAAAGTAGGGCTCCCCTTCATTCTGTGATTGTACGTGGCTTAAAGTTCTTTTCAGTATTGTGTTTTAATGTTGTCATCTGCCTTGGGAACGGAGGGTGAAAATGGGATGGGGATGATGATGATGGTGAAGGTGGTACATAGCTTAACCCCCCCAGCCCCATTTGCTTGGAGGTTCTTTGGCATCCAGCATGGTCCCTCAGGTCGCCTCGGAGACTGGCAGTGCCCACTTGAAGCTCCAGCCTTTGGCACAGAGAGGATGTGGCCATGGGGCTTCCTGCTCTGGATCCCATGGGGTGGTTGCAAGGTCCTCTGGGTGGAACTGCCCTGGAAGACGGCTCCGAAACTGGCCCCTAATGGATGGGCTCCCTCTTTTGATTTGTGCTGTATTTATCCCACCTTTTTCTCCAATCCATGGGTCTGCCCCTCCTCATTGAATATCCATTTATGTCTTTTAAATTCTACTGGATATTGATCCAGAGCAGAACTCTCGCATATAGTTAGCAGAGTAAAAACTCAAACACATTGCAGGATTCCCCCAAAATAGATCAGAGGCAATTATATATTTCATCCAGCAGAGCTTTACTGCTAGCCAAGGCAAACGAGCATAATGATCACAAATGCAACACATCCAGGATTGGCACTGTCCAGTTGCAGCAGAAGTGCAGAGTGTTTGAGGACCGGGACATTCGCAGGGAAGCCAAAATGCTTGTTTACAAAGCTATTGCACTACCAACCTTACTGTATGCTTGTGAAACATGGACCACTTTTAAACCCCATCTCCAACTCCTCAAAAGATTCCATCAACGGTGTCTCCAAAATATTTTACACATCACTTGGGAAGACAGGAGAACTAATGCCAGTGTACTGGAAGAAGCAAAGATCACGAGTGTTGAAGCAATGATTCTTCAACATCAACTTCATTGGACTGGTCATGTCGGGTGGATGCCTGATGATCGTCTTCCAAAGCAACTACTCTATTCCAAACTTAAAAATGGAAAGCGTAATGCTGGTGATCAAAAGAGGTTTAAAGATCGTCTCAAGGCAAATCTTTAAGAAGTAGTATAAACACCGACAACTGGGAAACACTGGCCTGCGAGCGCCCCAGTTGAGGAACAGCCTTGACCAAAGGCTCTAACTCAGGACGCAGGGGGAAATGTGCTAGGAGGAAGGCACACTTGGCAAATCCACAACGTGATCGGCTCCAGCCCGGAAACCTATGTCTCCACTGTGGAAGGAGGTGTGGATCCAGAACTGGCCTCCACAGTCACTTACGGACTCATTGTTAAAACCGTGTTCGTGGAAGACCATCTTACTCGGCTACCAGGGATCGCCCAAGAAGAAGAAGATAAACTCCCCCCCGCCCCCTCCCTGGCTGCCCTGGGACTTGCCCCCTTCTCCCCCCTGCGCCCTATGGGGAAGAGAGAGGAGACTTACAAGATCCCAAAGGTGCCACCGACGCAGCTCCTGCAAAGGAGACGAAAACCTCCCCCTGGAAGAGAGGAAAGGGGGGGGGCGGGGGCGGGAGGGGATTTCCTCGGGAGGACCTCGTCCCCCCCCTTATTTCCTGTCCTCTCTAGGAACGCAGCTCAGTTCCTTTTAACCCTTGCAAGGCGGAGCACTTCAAACTCACCTCCTCTCTATTCCGGAGCCCGGGAGGAGCCTCGTACTTTGCAGACGCGTCGAGGCGCCTTATTTGCGGAGACCGAAATGAATCCCAAGGGGGCGGGAGACCCAGGACGCCCAAAGGGGGAAGAGAAAGGAGACTCACCGGATCCCCGAAGGCGCCCCCGAGGCAGCACTCGCGGAGCAGAGACGCAACAGGCACCCCCTTGCAGGAAGGGAGGGGGAGGAAGGGTCTTTGGCTCTGGGGGACGTGGCCCTCTTTATTCCCAGTCCTCTCTCGGAATCCAGCCCAGTTCCTTTGAACCCTGGGCCAGCCGGGCTCCTCCCCCTCCCTCTGCAAAGCGGGAGCCCCGGCATCGCAGCCCCCAGGGGGGTCGTATTTGCAAGGGGTGAAAGAGATTTTCTCACAATGCCTCCCTCCCACCATCACTAAAACGTTGCGCCATGGTCACAAAAGAGGAGTGGTTGTCATGCAGAAAGGAGAAAGTGCCCCCCCTCCCGCCCCTCATTCCAGCTCCCACCGCCTTGGAAGGAGCTGCTTCCCCAAAGAGCAAGAACGGGATTCACACCTCCTCCCAGTCGCGAGGCCTTCCTGCGCTTCTCCTCTGGAAGGATCCGGATTACTGTCTGGGGTGTGGGCTGCCTCCTGGGGCGAAGCTGGATTCCCCCCTAAGGGCAAAGGACCTTTTGCTTGAGGGAGGGGAGCTCTCTTGTGAGCACCCGGTCTAGCAGAGTAAAAGAGGTGAGGAGGTATCTGGCCATACCGACTTTATTTCTACTAATTACAGATTAAAGAACGGAACACGTATGAGAGGAGCAGCTCTCATACAGACATCCTGTCTCGTCGCAAGACAGAGCAGAAAGAAAAAGTGCAATAGTACCAGAGACGGAATTCACACAGACTGGCTTCCTTCCTCACAGAACAGGAAAGGAAACAAGAATCAGATGATCCTTGCAATGGGAGGAGTGAAATGCTAACAGAACGTGTGTCTTCTGCTTATAAATATGCTCTTACCGGCAGAACGTTCTTACTGAAGTTTAATAGGAATCTCCATTCCTGTTATCTTTTAACACACTCGTTCGGATCCCACCCTCCAGAGCAGGAGAAAACAAGGAGCCCCACCAATTTGCTGCTTGGAGGCGCTGGAAGAGGAAGCTCTGTGAACCTCTTTACTCATGACGTGAACCACCCTGGCATCCTCAGATCAAGGGCACTGCACAAATTTAATAGCTATAGAAATAATCAAGTACGTTACCTGCTTGTGTGGTAAGAATTTGCTTCTACACCAGCAGTTTGTTACACATGTAAGGGAACATCCGAAATAAAAACACGGGACCAAGGCAATGAGAGCAAACTCAGAGTCCTGCAGGGACCCAGTTTATTCAAACTATTGCAATCGGACAGCCTTGCTATCCAGTTCTTCAGCAGAAGGGCTGGTTTGAAAAGGCTGCCAGGAGGCATATTAGAAGAAAGCTTATATACACAGCACACAAAGACTCATAAAATGCCACAACACTCTTCCACTTGCATCAAGAAAGGTCACAGGTCATGGGATGCGTGGCTCATTTGGATATCGACTCCTCTGAAATTACCTTGGGGTGTCCCAGAGTGCCCAGGTCATTTGGGTCTCCTATGTCTCACTTTGACACCATGCCCATGGCAACCAGGACTTCCATGGGACTGTTGATTTTCCTATCCCCTATCTTACTTTCCTGTTCCCAAAACATGTCAAAGACCTGAGGAGAGATGTGAGTTCTCACACGGATGCTAGCTCAACACAGACCTCTTTCCCAAAACATCATCTGCCCTTCTAGGGTCTGAAAAGGCTGGAAGCGGTAGGAAACTTACACAGGACAACTTTACAGGAGGGTGGAATGAGGGTTACAAAATGCAGGCATACAAAAGTCAAGCCTAATGCATTCTATCTAAAAGGCTGGATGCAATTAATACTAGGACACTTTGATCAAAATCTATAATATCTAATATTCAATCAACTATCACATTTTTTACACCAAGTCCTTCCTAGGAAAGATCAGCATGGACAGCAACCTCATCAGTGTCACCCAATCACTGTTATCCCTCTCTCCAGGCATGACATAAAGAAGGAATTCACCTTGGAGTTTCACCTTGGCCAAGAACTTAAAAGTCACAGCTCTGGGTACGTAGTAGGTATTACTATGGGGCACCAGATGTGGCAAAGAACCCAGCTGCAATCATTACCTCATATGAACTAAAGTCTCCTCCAATTAAATCTGTATACAGCCACTACTGTAGTTTGCCCCCACTGTGGGTTCTTTAATGGCAAACAAGACGGGCTCTGTGGCTGAAGCTCTTTCCACATGCTTGCCACTGTTAGGGTTTCTCCCCTGTATGAATTCTCTGATGGGACATGACACTATCCATTTTTCTGAAGCTCTTTCCACACTCTTGTAACTGATAGGGTTTTTCTCATGGATTAACTCTTTGATGGGCCTTAAAATGGCATTTTTGAGTAAAGCTCTTTCCACACTAAAAGCACTGATAAGGTTACTCCCTTGTATGAATTCTTTGATGGGAAGTGAGTTTGCTGCTCGTATTGAAACTGCTTCCACATTCCAAACATTTATAGGGTTTCTCCCCTGTATGAATTCTGTGATGGGTTGTGAGACTGGTGCTCCGGGTGAAACTCTTTCCACATTCCAAGCACTGATATGGCTTCTCCCCTGTATGAAGTCTATGATGGACACTTAGCTGGTAGCTGTGACTGAAGCTCTTTCCACACTCCAAGCACTGATAGGGTTTCTCCCCTGTATGAATTCTTTGGTGGGAAGTGAAACTTATTTTCCAGGTGAAGCTCTTTCCACATTCCAAACATTTATAGGGTTTCTCCCCTGTATGAAGTCTATGATGGGTTGTGAGAGTGCTGCTCTTATTGAAGCTCTTTCCACATTCCAAGCACTGATATGGCTTCTCCCCTGTATGAATTCTTTTATGGACAGTGAGCTGGCCTTTGTCTATGAAGCTCTTCCCACATTCCAAGCACTGATGGGGTTTCTGCCCTGTGTGAATTATTTGATGGATAGTAAGCTGGCGTCTGTGAATGAAGCTCTTTCCACATTCCAAGCACTGATAAGGTTTCTCTCCCGTATGAATTCTTTGATGGGCCATGAACGGGCCTTTGTGAATGAAGCTCTTTCCACATTCCAAGCAATGATAAGGTTTCTCCCCTGTATGAATTCTTTGGTGGGAAGTGAGCTTGGACCTCTCATTGAAGCTCTTTCCACATTCTAAGCACTGATAGGGTTTCTCTCCTGTATGAATTCTTTGGTGGGAAGTGAGCTTGGACCTCTCATTGAAGCTCTTTCCACATTCCAAGCACTGATAGGGTTTCTTTCCTGTATGAATTCTTTGGTGGGAAGTGAGCTTGGACCTCTCATTGAAGCTCTTTCCACATTCCAAACATTTATAGGGTTTCTCCCCTGTATGAATCATCTGATGGTCAGTAAGCTGCCTTCTGAGAATAAATCTCTTTCCACATTCCAAGCAGTGATATGGTTTTTCCCCTGTATGAATTCTTTGATGGGTTGTGAGACTGGTGCTCCAGATGAATCTCTTTCCACATTCCAAACATTTATAGGGTTTCTCCCCTGTATGAATTCTCTGATGGGAAGTGAAACTCTCTCTTCGACTGAAGCTCTTGTCACATTCTTGGCATTGATAGGGTTTTTCTGTTGTATGGATTATTTGATGGGACCTAAGTTGGCCTTTTAGAATGAAGCTCTTTCCACACTCCCAGCACTGATAAGGTTTCTCCCCTGTATGAATTCTATGATGGACTGTGAAACTCTCCTTTGTTCTGAAGCTCTTTCCACACTCTTGGCACTGATAAGGTTTCTCCCCTGTATGAATTCTATGATGGACTGTGAAACTCTCCTTTGTTCTGAAGCTCTTTCCACACTCTTGGCACTGGTAGGGTTTCTCCCCTGTATGAATTCTTTGGTGGGAAGTTAATCTGTCCTTTTTTCTGAAGCTCTGCCCACAATCTTGGCACTGATAAGGTTTTTCCCTTGTATGAATTCTCTGATGGACAGTGACCTTGTATCTCTGACGGAACCTCTTTCCACATTCCAAGCACTGGTAGGGTTTCTCCCCTGTATGAATTCTTTGATGAGTCCTGAGCTGGGAGCTCTGAGTGAATGTCTTATCACATTCCAAACATTTATAGGGTTTCTCCCCTGTATGAATATTTTGATGGACACTTAGTTGGTGGCTGTGACTGAAGCTCTTTCCACATTCCAAGCACTGATAGGGTTTCTCTCCTGTATGAATTCTTTGATGGGAAGTGAGATTGCTGCTCTTATTGAAGCTCTTTCCACATTCCAAACATTTATAGGGTTTCTCCCCTGTATGAATAAGTTGATGAACAGTAAGCTGGCCTCGGTGACTGAAGCTCTTTCCACATTCCAAGCACTGATGGGGTTTCTTCTCAAGTGGATTTATTTGATGGGAAGTGGAATGGGAGCTCTGCCTGAAGCTCTCTCCACAGTCTGAATCCTGATATGGCTCCTCCACTGTGTGGATTTCGTTGTGGTCTCCCTCGTTCTTCATCTCCAGTTCATCACCACCTGCAACTACGTGGCAAACAGATTATAGCCTCAGGAATAATAATAATAATAATAATAATAATAATAATAATAATAATAATTTATTTATACCCCAGCCACTCTGGGCGGCTTCCAACAAAGATTTAAAAATACAGTAAAATTTTAGACATTAGAAAATTTCCCTAAACAGGGCTGCCTTCAGATGTCTTCTAAATGTCACATAGTTGTTTATCTCCTTGACATTTGATGGGAGGGCATTCCACAGGGTGGGCTTATCACAGTGAAGGAACCACCAGCAGGGCCTTGGCACTGGACTTCAGTATCCGGGCAGAACGATGGGGGTGGAGACGCTCCTTCAGGTATACTGTGCCGAGGTCAGTTAGGGCTTTAAAGGTCAGCACCAACACTTTGAGTTGTGCTCGGAAACGTACTGGGAGCCAATGTAGGCCTTTCAGGACCGGTGTTATTTGGTCTCAGCGGCCGCCCCCAGTCACCAGTCTGGCTGCCGCATTCTGGATTAATTGCAGTTTCTGGGTCACCTTCAAAGGTTGCCCCACGGAGAGCGCATAGCAGTAGTCCAAACGGGAGATAACCAGAGCATGCACCACTCTGGCAACCACCTGGCTGGGTTTCATGCTTTGAAAAGGCAGGACCGGAGGAAGAATATTCACAGGGAAAGCAGTCATCAGTCTTCCATCCAAGGCTGGCTGTGGGAGTGTTAGCATCCCAGGTGCTGTGGGTGGCGCTGTTGAGCCCCATTGAAATATCAGAGGTTTCTCCCATAGAGAGATGTTCTGAATTACAAAGCAGATAGGATGATCCAAGAGGAAGCCTTACCAAGAGAGTCCAAGATCCGACGATTCTCCTCCATGACTTCCTTATGCAGAGCTCTCTGGTCAGGATCCAGCAACGCCCACTCGTCGTCTGTGAAATGGACAGCTACATCTTCAAAGCACACTGGACCCTAAAAGAAAAAGGGAAAGGTTGTCCTCTTAGACCAAATAAAGGTGAACTGTTACACTTTGTTGTCTTCTGCCTCTTAATTGATGTCCTGTTTCAATGGGAATATTTTTCTGCGCATTTTATGGATGCATATTTTTTGTGCTAATGAATTATTCATTGTGTACAGTGGTGCCTCTGGTTGCGTACGGGATTCGTTCCAGAGGCCATTTGCAACCGGAAACTACTGCCACCCGAAGTGCCTGCTCTGCGCATGTGTGCGGGGCGGTCTATCGCTTCTGTGCATGTGTGAGCAGCGAAAAACCACTTCTGCGCATGCGCAACTGGAGAAACCCGGAAGTAACCCGGTCTGGTACTTCATAACCGGAAGGTTACATAACCTGATGGCAACGTAGCCAAAGGCACCACTGTATTTTAACGAGGGGCATTAAGAACCTGGTGCTTGTTGGTGTGTCTCCCCCTGAGTGCGGGTGTCCAATCTCACCCGTCTGGAGCTGAGAGCAGCACCCACTCCTCCGGACTTCAAACAAGACATACATTCGAAAACGCATGCACAACAAGAGACAGAACAAAGGGAGCGGAAGTGATAGGAACTGTCTTCCGTTCTCACGCTTCCAAGCATGGAATGTAAACATAGGACATGTGATCTAACACTCACACACCCAGCGACAGGAGAATGAAACTATTAACAGTGTTCTTCAAATCATTCTTCAGATCATGTGCACAAACATTCCCGTTTTCCACATGGAAGGACCCCCTTTCTTCTTTCCCTCTGTGCTGTTCTGGCCGGGTGGGGAGGATCCTCCTGAAGCCCTAATCCAAGGTGCGCAGGGGAATGAGAGTGGGAAAGCCCCATTGTGGGGCTGATGGGGTGAATCCTGGCCACTCTTTGGTATGGGGTGTGAACTGCTTAGAAGCCTATTTGAGCCTTCAACCCTCCTTCCTTGGCAGTTCCTCCCACCATTCCTCTGTGTCCCCCAGTCCATGACATCCTCTCTCCCCACATGGCCCCTTCCTCCTACCTGCTCGGTTTGAGTCGGCTGCAAACCTCTCGGGGTCCTTTGGCCTCCTGGTAGCAGAACTGCCTGAGCTGCTGGCTCTGCACCTCTGAGCAGAGGGTGTCCTCCTCACCCAGTTCCTTCTTCACAGAGTTTTCCCAGAATCCCCCACTGCTCCCATCGTGGGTTCCAAGGCCTCTTCCTGATTCATGGCCAGCTGAGTCTTGCTCATCCATCTCTGTTCTCTGGACACCTCCAGGAGATTGGAGATGAGAGCCGCAACCCCAGAGTCGGCCACGACTGGATCTAATGGTCATGGGTCCCTTTACCTTTAAAGATGTTTTTTTTAAGAAGCGGTTTAATGATCGCCTCTTTCAGTGGGTCTGGGAAGGCTCCCTCACAGAGGGAAGCATTCACCACCCCGCAGAGCCCATCGCCCAGCCCTTCCCGGCTTGCTTTTATTAGCCAGGATGGGCAAGGATCAAGGAGACAGGTGGTTGGTTTCACTTGTCCAAACAGCATGTCCACATCCTCAGAGGTAACAGATTGAAATTGATCCCATATAACATGACTAGACAGGACTCTAGCACTCTCCCGCCTTGGCCCTGCTCCCACAATGGTGACTACCTCCTTCTGAATCTGAGCAACTTTATCTGCAAAAAACTTTGCAAAATCATTGCAGGAGATCTTGGGGTCTTTACAAGGCTCTGATGGTAAAGGTGTTTCTGTTAAATTGCAAACCACCTGAAAGAGTTTCCTGCTGCTATTTTCTGGAGATGCAATAGAGGCGGTGAAGAAAGTCTTCTTCGCCATCACTATCACCACTTGATAGGCTTGACATTGAGCTCTAACCCGTGTCCGGTCCAATTCAGAATGGATTTTCTGCCACCGGCGCTCTAGCCGTCTCAGATATCGTTTCCTCACCCTCAGCTCTGGAGAAAACCACGGGGCTGTCCGGGCTCCATGCAATCGGAGAGGGCACTCGGAGCCAGACAGTCGATAGCCCTGGTTAACTCCGCATTCCAGCGGGCCACCAGGGAATCAGCTGAAAGGCCATCAACATGTGATGAAGCATCCCCTACCACTCTCTGGAAACCATTTGGATCCATTAAGTGGCGGGGGCGGACCATCTGAATCGATCCCATCTCCCTGCAGAGGTGAATGGTCGCAGAGATGTCCAGTTGTACCAGGAAGTGATCTGACCATGGCACTTCAGTTGTTTCACTTTTAGCTAGTGTCAGATTACCCATGTCACTAGAGGTGAACACCAGGTCTAAGGCATGTGTTATGGGTTGGACCAAACTCATTCAGGGACAACCCCATGGAGGCCATGCTTTTCACGAAGTCCTGAGCAGCACCTTGTAAGGTTGTGTCAGTGTGGATGTTAAAATCCCCTAGGACAACCAAGCTAGGTGTCTCCAGGAGAACATCCACCACGACCTGAAGCAGCTCGGGCAGGGAATCCTTGGTGCTGTGGGGAGGTCAGTACACCAAAAGGAATCCTGTACTGCCCCTACCGCCCAACTTCCGGAACATGCACTCAGAGAACTGGGTCTTCCCAATACGACACCTGGTGCAAACTAATGACTTCCTAAAAATCACTGCAACGCCCCCCCCCCGCCCACATGACCTGGGTTGCTGTGCAAAAGAGAAACCTGGTGGACAAGTGGGAGCAAGGACAGGCCCATCTGCTTCATCCAACCAAGTGTCTGTTACCCATGCCAGGTCAAGTCCTCCATCCACAGTCAGGTCATGGATGGCAGTGGTCTTATGAATCGTTGACCTAGCATTGCACAGCAGCACCTTAAGGTCATGTGGGTTTCCCTTGTTGATTCCAGAATCCATCCCATCAAGACCAGACCTGGAGACAGAGATAGTCTTCAAACAATTACTAAGCCTGCCTCCTGGGTAATGACATGTTCTGATCTTAGCGTAACTCCTCCTCCTGCCCATGATCACTGAGATTGGGTGTCCCAGTGCACCCCCCCCTCCCCGTGGAACTTGCCCCAGCCATTCTGTTGGATGGGGCCCACTCCCAGGCAGCCCTAATCCCGCCCCTTAAAAACAAAACACAAACTATACAACAACCAATAAAACAAAACAAAACAACGTTATACCTAAATGAATCCCCAACCAGATATCCTTTTAGAAGACATCTGAAGGCAGCCTTGTTTAGGGAAGCTTTTAATGTTTGATGGACTACTGTATTTTAATATTTTGTTGGAAGCTGCCCAGAGCAGCTGTGGAAACCCAGCCAGATGGGCGGGGTATAAATAATAAATTGTTGTTGTTGTTGTTATCCATCCCAACCCCCAACAGAGCAAAAGGGGAGGGGGAGAAGAGGAAAAATAACATGCCACTGACTGCTTAAGGTCATTTTAAAACACATTAGATTAGACACTTGGAACAGGGAAGCAATAGCAGAAGAACTCCACACTTCCCCAAGAGTTTCTTCCAGTGAGTCCAGCCCCACCCTCTGGGCACTGCAGCAGGAGTCCTTTTGTAGCTGAGAATGTGCGGGCCTGGCCCCCGTCCCCCAGGCCAGTTGGAAAAGGCCTTGGAGGGAGCAGGCCCTGCAGTCCTCGCTGCAGCCGATGGTCCCAAATTAGGGAGCAGTGCTAATTAAAGCTTGTGACAGGGAAAGAACTGAAGGGAGTTAGATGTGAGGTCTTCCTCCAGGGTTCACTGCCTGAGGTTCTCTTAAGCCTGGTTATTTTCTGGGACGGATTTTATTTGCCCCAATCATGAGATCTGTGCCATCTCCAATGTCACTCGTCTCTTTAGTCAGCCAAGGACAGATAAAAGAACAGAAACAAAACATCTGACAGAAGCCACTTCAACTTCCTGAATCATTTTGAAGCCTACATTTAAGAAGGCCTGGGCAGTTTAGAGGAGCCTGAAAAAATATGGGGGGGGGTCTTATCTGCCCTGGAGGATCTTCAGCTGTGCATTCCCCCCCCCCGCTCAGCACCTTGCACCTCTGGCGGCCCTGCCCCTATGAGGGGATGAGGGGCTGCTGAGGAATAGAGTATGAACGGGGAAGGAGAGCGGTCAGCCCTCCTCCTCCTC